ACGACACGGCACGCCGAACTCGCAGCACGACACCCAAGCAGTGAACCACCAGGCAACACCACCAAGACAACCACACTGCAAGGGACGAGAGGGCATGCGGACAAGCACCAGAGCGACCATGCTGAGGAGCTCAAGGCAACTCCAACGCGGCAACCAAACTACAGGGCTGAGGGCGCGCAACCAAAGGACCCGGAAGGCACAACCAGCGGACATGCGGCAAGGCAGCAAAGCGGCCAAGCGCAAGGCAACACCACAACCCGGCCACACCACACAACGAAGATAGCGGTATGCCAAGAATGACCTGGGAGGCAAGCGGAACGGGCAGCAAGTCAGTGGTGGAGCGCAAACGGGGTCGTCCACACATCCAACACGGAGCAAAGCATCACATCACCTACTCGCATCACTGGTGAACCCCACAGACTGCTGGTTCCCACCACCCACTTAGCCAGGGGAGACACTCCGACAAGCATCCGTCATCGCCTACAGGCAACACAGACATCCCGAACCGAGCGGCCCCCTAAGGATGCAGTTGGCGCTCCAAACGAGGAGCCACCGACTGTTTGGCACTACCTAAGGGTGTTCAGTTGGGCACACACAAAAATACTTAGAAAGAATAAGAGGGCAGAGGGAAGACAGACAATAGGAAAAGGATCGACAAACATAAAGCTGATTGTGTGTGTGTGTGTGTGTGTGTGTGTGTGTGTGTGTGTGAGAGAGAGAGAGAGAGAGAGAGACACACACACACACACACACACAACATAAAAAAAATAAAAATGGCTATCGTTGTTGGTTTTTTTTTTTTTTTTGCACATGAAAACCATCCCCTCAAATTTCATTTTTTTTCTTTTTTTTTAGGTGCTTATGGTGGGGGACGTCATGGGCAGGCAATGCGCACACCCCGATTTTGGGCGCGCAACTCCACCTGTGTGCGGCGCGGGCGCGAGAAAACTCAAGCCGTCTCCTAGGCCGCGGGATCTGAGGCCGAGGGTGCCACATAGCTCTGCGTGCATGGCTGGAAAACTCTCTCTCTCTCTCTCTCGCATTCTTTCTCTCTCTCTCTCTCTCTCTTCTCT